ATAGTGGGTAGGTAGGTATTTGTTTTATAACTTTTAAAACTGTACAGCCGGGTGTGGTGGCTCATGCCTGTAATCCCAGCACTTTGGGAGGCTGAGGTGGGTGGATCACCTGAGGTCAGGAGTTTGAGGCCAGCCTGACCAACATGGTGAAACCCCGTCTCTACTAAAAATACAAAAATTAGCTGGGTGTGGTGGCGTATGCCTGTAGTCTGAGCTACTAGGGAGGCTGAGGCAGGAGAACTGCTTGCATCCAGGAGGCAGAGGATGCAGCGAGCCGAGATCATGCCATTACACTTCAGACTGGGCAACAAGAGCGAAACTCTGTCTAAAAAAAAACACTGTACACATTTTATACTCTTTGGTGTGTGTATAGATATGTATATTTAGAAACAGGGTCTCAGTCTGTCACCTAGGCTGGAATACAGTAGCACTGTCATAGCTCACTGCAGCCTCAGACTCCTGGACTCAAGCGATCCTCTCGCCTCAGCCTCCTGAGTTGCTAGGACTACAAGCACGTGCCTTCACACCTGGCTAATGTTTGGATTTTTTTTTTTTTTCTTTTTGAGATGGAGTCTTACTGTGTTGCCCAGGCTGATCATGAACTCCTGGCCTCAGGTAATCCTCCCACCTTGACCTCCCAAAGTGCTGGTATTATAGGCGTGAGCCACCATGCCCAGCCTGGTATATTTTAAAAATATAACCTGTAGTATTTTTAACAGAGGATAGGAAATGTTTTGAAATTTGGTAAAGTGGATTACTGTATTGAAAACACAATATCCTATTTGAAATCATTGCCTAAGAGTATTTAGAGAAGATTTAACTTTCTATGTTAAGACCTCTCCATTAAATCAGTTTTAGAGTGCAAGTTGGGAGAAAGTACCAAAACCTCAAAGAGTGTCTCTGATATAGGAGCTTGAATGAAGTGGAGGAGACTCCAGGTCCTGCACGTGTCGTGTTGTTCTTCTGCCCTCGCGCCCTCTTTGCTTCCTTAAATTTTTAGTTGTCGATTCTCGAGTCTGGGGCTTCATCTTAGGGGCTGACTGGACAGAAGAGCTAATGCCCCCCTGTCTTGACACAGCATTTTTCAAACTCTTGCTTAGAGACTTTGTTATAGTAGCCTCCTAAACTAACTCATTATCAAACTTCACTTCAGGTCCAAGTCATAATCTGAGATCTTTTTTTTTTTTTTTTGAGATGGAGTCTCGCTCTGTCGCCCAGGCTGGAGTGCAGTGGCCGGATCTCAGCTCACTGCAAGCTCGGCCTCCCGGGTTCACGCCATTCTCCTGCCTCAGCCTCCCGAGTAGCTGGGACTGCAGGCGCCCACCACCTCACCCGGCTAGTTTTTTGTATTTTTTTAGTAGAGACGGGGTTTCACCGTGTTCACCAGGATGGTCTCGATCTCCTGACCTCGTGATCCGCCCGTCTCGGCCTCCCAAAGTGCTGGGATTACAGGCTTGAGCCACCGCGCCCGGCCCATAATCTGAGATCTTTTAAGGAAATCACTTATTTTTGTGTTTAGACAACCTGATTGGATACATAGTTTTAAAATTTTTAAGGTAGTATCTTTTTTTAGGCCTTAGTTAATACTCCAATTACATGTCTTTACTTCAGTTTTTTTCCTTCCCATACATACCAAGCTTCCCTTGGTGTGCTTTAATTATTTGGAATTCATCTTGATGTATTGATTTTACCTTTCTATTTCATGGCTATTTTTTTAGGATGGAGCTAAAGTAGTCTGTGTGATAATATGTTTCACATACATTACATGAATTAATGGCCGATACAGCAAAAAATCATGAAATTAATACATGGATGACAGATGTAGTGTTTCCTTATAAAGGTGAAAGTAAGGTGTTCTCTTTGATATCCTCTGATTGCCTCTACTTGTAATCCTCAAAAAATAAAAAAAGATTTATATGGTTTTACTAGGTAGGTAAAAGCAATCTGGAAAATTCATCTAGGTAAATAATTTGTTCAAATACAAAGATGAATAAGATGTAAATTGTACCCTCAGAAGCAGCAGTATAACAGAGATGGACAAACAAAAACTGCAGTATGGGGCTGGGCGTGGTGGCTCACGCCTGTAATCCCAGCACTTTGGGAGACTGAGGCGGGCGGTTCGCGAAGTCAGGAGATCAAGACCATCCTGGCCAACATGGTGAAACCCCATATCTACTAAAAATACAAAAATTAGCCAGGCGTGGTGGCATGCACCTGTAGTCCCAGCGAATCGGGAGGCTGAGGCAGAAGAATCGCTTGAACCTGGGAGGCGGTGGTTGCAGTGAGCCGAGATCGCGCCACTGCACTCTAGCCTGGTGACAGATCGAGACTCTGTCTCAAATAAAGACATAAATAAATAAAAATAAAAATTGCAGTATAGCATGGTAAGTGAAACAGTGGAAATAGGTACAGGTAAATGGGTAGCCTGGAAAGGCACTTGCTGTCGTATGGAGCAGTGAGGAAAGTTTTCACAGAGGAAGGGATGCTGACCAGCAGGCTTGAGAGATGAGCAAAAAATGTACAGAAAGGTAGATTGGGAAAGGGAGACCTGGAAAAGGCATGTGCCAAGATACAGAGACCTAAAAGAGCACAGTGTACATTGAGTTAACTGTGAGCAGCTCATCATTTACGTGAGTGGGAAGTGGAAAGAGAGAGAGGCAGGAGTCAGGTGTGAAAGCTTTTGTATGGAAAATGAAGGCATTTATTTAGATCTCATTCTGTAAGTGACTATCAGCCTTTGAAGGGTGTTAAGCAGAAGGGTGACATGATCTCTGGGGGCAGTGCAGAAACTGTTGTAGTGCGGGAAAATTCAGCGTCACGTCATGACTTCTTGATGGGCAAAAGGAAAATGGAAAGAAGTTAGGGGAGAAGTTGAGAATTTCTGCTATGTTTCGCTTTATATACTTTCAGGAAATTAGGTTACATCTAGACTTTTCCCAGAATTTTTTTTTTGTTGGGGGGAGGGGGAACAGGGTCTTACTCTGTCGCCCAGGGTGGGGTGCAGTTGGCACAATCTCAGCTCACTGCAGCCTCGACGACCCAGGCTGAAGTGATCCTCCCACCTCAGCTTCCTGAGTAACTGGGATTACAGGTACATGCCACCGCACCAACTAATTTTTTTGATACTTTTTGTAGAGACAGGGTTTCGCCATGTTGCTTAGGCTGATCTCAAACTCCTGGGCTCAAGTGATGCACCTGCCTCTGCCTCCCAAAGTGCTGGGATTATAGGAGTGAGCCACTGTGCCTGACCAAGTTTTCCCAGAATTTAATGTGTTGAAGGGAATAGTAGTAGGTGATTTGGAGCCAATATACAAAGTTTCTGAAAAAATTGTATTATTGAGTCTTTATTATAAATAAGTATTCATTAACTGTGCCTGTATGGTCTTACAGGCAAACAGATTTTTGTTTATTTTGTGTTAAAATACTACAGCAAGCAGCATATAGAAGTCTACTGGGGACGTGGCCTTGATGAGGCAGACAACTGCAACCATGTTTTATTTTCCAATTTAAGTGGCACATATGATAATAAACTGCAGAGGCAGCAGAATGAAATAGTTAAACTTTTTTACAGTTAATATCCTGCCAAGAAAATCTCAGATAACTGTTATTTTAGGGGAATTGGGTGGACAGTATAATCTGTGTAAAAGGAGCCTCCTTTAAATATGAGTTTTAGAAGTGAAGGTTCTAGGCTGGGTGTGGTGGCTTACACCTGTAATCCCAGCACTTTGGGAGGCTGAGGCAGGTGGATCACCTGAGGTCTGGAGTTTGAGACCAGTCTGACCAACATGGTGAAACCCTGTCTCTTCTAAAAATACAAAAATTAGCCGGGCATGGTGGTAGGCGCCTGTAATCCCAGCTACTCGGGAGGCTGAGACAGGAGAATTGCTTGAACCCGGGAGGCGGAGTTGCAGTGAGCCGAGATCACACCATTGCTTTCCAGGCTGGGTAACAGAACAAGACTCCATCTCAAAAAAAAAAGAAAAGAAAAAAGAAGTGAATGTTCTATTTAACCTGATTGTGGCATGTTGTTTACTTTTGTGCATATTTATGATTGACTCTTAGACTTGGTAGTCTTTGGTGGGTATTATTCTACCTTCCAGAAGAATGTATTGGTATGCCAACTTATTTTTGTAGCTTTATATATCGTAATGTAGAGTCCTGGGTCTGCATATTGTGAACGTACTCTGTATCCAGCTACATAACCAGACCCTTAATATCAAATGTTCTGCCTCATGTTTATTTGGGAATATCCTAACATCTTGGGGTTGTAACTTAGCTAATTTGCTAACATCCATAAGCTGTGTGCTCTTAGCCTTTTAGTATTGTAGCCCATCAAAAAGTTCTTTTTTTTTTTGAGACAGAGTTTTGCTCTTGTTGCCCAGGCTGAAGTACAATGGCGTGATCTTGGCTCACTGCAACCTCCGCCTCCCAGGTTCAAGCAATTTTCCTGCCTCAGCCTCCCATGTAGCTGGGATTACAGGCTCGCACCACTATGCCTGGTTAATTTAGTATTTTTAGTAGAGACGTGGTTTCAACATGTTGGTCGGGCTAGTCTCGAACTCCCGACCTCAGGTGATCCACCCGCCTCAGCCTTCCAAAGCGTTGGGATTACAGGTATGAGCCACCGCACCTGGCCTCCATCAAAAAGTTCTGACTCTGGTCAGGGAATTAACTTTAACATCTTAGCAAAAATGATCTAGAAGCATCAAAGGAGGGAGTTCTTGCCAAGAGTACACAGAGATGTCCAGAAGGAAAGTTGACATTACTTGATAGTGTGACTTTATAGTAAACATGAAGGAGGAACTGCAGAAATGAAGGACCACAGATGACCTTGGGACAACTGGAGGTTCCTTTCTGCAAGGCCCAATGATGTTGACAATAATGAAACTTGATTTGCATTTGAAAAGATGTTTTTACACTCTTGTCACAAAATTTTTTTTTTGAAGTTCCTTTCATTCTTTTGAAGAGTTAATTCCTTACTGTTTTCTACTTTGACACAGAAATCTCCTGCAAAGAAGCTGAGCCATGCGATTAGTAAATCTTTGGGGTGTGTACCCACGAGAGAACCCCCGCATCCTGTTTTTCCTGAGCAACCAGAGAAACCACTTGACCTTGCACATATAGTGTAAGTATACCCCTGGAAGTGCCTGTGGATCACACTGAAATGGGGGCCTTGTGAAATTCCTGTGGATCAAAACCAGACATCACTTAACATGAACATTGAACTTTTCGGGTTTTTACTTTCTTTTGGGGGAACTTAGACGTCAAGCTTTCTTCTCTGTAAATCACCTTAAGTGTCCACGTGGAAACCTAGCTCCTGATTCCTGAAGCCTGAGTAATATGGCAGCCTCCAGAAACATGAGCCCATTGAAGAGTAATTACTGTTCTGGTTTTAGGTGGGTTGCCTTTTGTGGTTTTGGGTTCATTCCTTAAATCGGTGGTAGAGATCTTTTTCTCTACAGCAGTAATGCCCGTAGAGACTTTTAAGTTAATGTAGACAAGATGGAAATGAAAATCAACTTAATTTGCTCTTTTTGTATTGAGAGAAAATTAGGAAACATAAGACTATATTCTACAAATAAAACTGGTACTTTGTATGTATTTATTTGTATGTATTTAGTTTGAATATTCATGCTAAGTAAAGCAAAGCTAGAGGAGAACAACAAAGTTGAGAAATAGAGAAAGGAAAGTAGGGAGGAAGAGAAACAGTGAAGGGTAAGATTCAGCCTGTAAACTACTTTCTTCACTCTGAATTAAATGATGATAATATGCTTCCCTGATGAATAAATTTGGTAGGGTTTTGGATCACGAATCTTTATCAGATGTTTAGAAGTTTTTCTGTTGGAGTGGGCATTCATTTTCTTTCACCTCCCTGATGGAAGGTGTTTGACTAAATGAACTCTAGAGAATCTTGATCTTTTTCCTTTTTTCTTTCAATTATTTAGAAATCTGTTTATATTTATTAAAATAACCCATGCATGTGAATTAAAAATTCAGTCACACAAGAGCTTATAATGAATGCAACATACCCTCCCACACTTCACTGTCCTTTGGGTTTTAAATCTACTAATAGTTATCTCTATATTTCTAAATAATATGTTTGGAGCACTATTTCTTGACTTATCAGTTTTAGACATTGTTATCATTATTATTTTTTGAGACAGGGTCTCGCTTCATCACCCAGTCTGGAGTGCAGTGGTGTGATCTCAGCTCACTGCAGCTTCCGCCTCCCAGGTTCAAGCAATCCTCCCACTTCAGCCTCACAAGTAGCTGAGACTGTAGGTGCAGGCCACCATGCTCAGCTAATTGTTTTTTAATTTTTGGTAGAGATGGTGTTTCGCCATGTTGCCTAGGCTGGTCTTGAACTCTGGGTTCAAGTGATCCACCTGCCTCAGCCTCCCAAAGTGCTGGGATTACAGGCATGAGCCACTGCGCCCAGCCAATTTTAGACATTATTGACTTACTTTTGTGGTATAAGGAATCAGCCTCATTTTTAACTCTACATACCAACCCATCCCTGTTTTTCATAATTATATCACCATTTTTAAGTTGGTTACCTTTTTAATTTTAAATAATATTTTAAAAACTCTGTTTCTTATAACTTCTTTTTGACTTCCACTTTGTAAACTGAGAAAATTAGCATCTTCTGTCTACTTTTCCTTTGCCTCCTAACATCTGCCATCTGTGCCCTTATTGTTATGTTGTCAAAGCTGATAATATTTCTGTTGTTTTCGATAACCATAACTAAGTCTTCTGAGATTGATCAAGGGTTAAATCTAATAAAACCAAATAATGACATTTACAGGTAGTATCCTTCATTACACAGTCACATAGTATGCTGTGATTCTGTGGATCCTTTTGTGCAGTTACTCTGTCTTTGGAGTTCACTGGGCTTTTCTTTCTTACTTACCATCGATTGCTGAAAATCATTCCTATTGAATTTTTAACTGGATTGATTTTCTTGTACAGTTGTTGTTGTTTTTCCTGTAGTTTCTCATTGCTTTCTTCTTGTTGGGAAAAAGGATGTCCTCCACCCCTACATAGTGTTCCATAGCACAGTTTATCTGTTGCCTATAATCCAATTTTTTTGTTAAATCTGTTAACCTTTTTCCTTTTTGATTCGTGTTTTTCCTTGCCTGTCTCAACATTATAGTGGTTTTCTCCTTACTTTTTTCTTTAGGTTTTAAAGATGGCCTTTTCACATATGTCTTTAATTCATTTGGAATGGATTTTTGTGTGTGATGTGATGTAGAATATCCAGTTCTCTTCCCCAGCCCCTCGCTTTGTGCATTTGAATAATAACTTGTCTCAGGGTCATTCAATAGATAATCCATCATTTCCCCACTGACTACAATGCCACCATTGTAAAAAATGAAGTTTCCAAATATGCACAGGCTGGCTTCTGGGTTCTTTATTCTGCTCCTTTGGTCGAATTGCCTATCCCTATGCCAATATCTCACTGTGTCAATTACCATAAGGGACTAAGTAATCTACTTTTTCTGAGTGTCTTGTCTGTTATTAGCTCTTTGCTCTTTCATATAAAGTTTAGACTCATCTTACTGAGTTCCTCATAAAATTTTGTTGAGATTTTTGATCAGAGATTCACTGAATCTAAAGATCAAATTGGGGAGAACTGACATCCTTCTGGTTTTAAAGCTTTCATTCCACGAATGTGTCTTTGCATTTATTTAAATATCTTTTTATAGCTTTAAGTAAAGTTTTATCATTGTTCCCCAGAAAAGTCTTTATATGTTAGATTAACTCTTATGTCACTTGACATTTGTAATTGCTGTTACAAAAAGTGTCAGTAGTGTCCTTTTTCCTACAGTTATTTAAGATATACTTTACATGTAATAAAACACACCTACTTTAAGTGTACAGTTTGATGTGTTTTGGTAAGTATATGCTGTAATGCAAATGGAATATTTTCTGAATTATATTTCTTAACAGTTTGTTACTAGTGTATGGAAATGCAAATAGTTTTTGTATTTTAGTCCACTATCTAGGCAGTCGTCTTGCTTAAATTGTTTGTTAATTCTGGTACTTTATACTCAGATTCTTTTGAATTTTCTATAAATAATTATATAATCGGCAAATAATGACTGCTTTGTGTCTTCTCTTCCGTACCTTATACTTTTGAAAATTAATCATACTTTTTGCAGGGTGGGCGGGTGTCTTACTATGCTGGCTAGCCCCTCCGGTGCAATGCTCAATAGAAGTGGTTTAAAGGCATTTTTGTGTTATTACTAATCCCACAGAGAATGCTTTCGGCATTCATTTAGTATGTTATTTGATGTAGGTTTTGTATAAACTATTTATCAGGTTTAAGAGGTTCCCTTTTATTTCTAGTTTGCTAGAAATAAAAAATGCTTTCTTTTTGTCATGAATGGATACTGACTTTTATCAAAGACTTTTTCTGTTTTGAGATGATTATATGATTTTCTCTATTGATGATCAAAGACTTTTTCTTTATTCTATTATCGTAGTGAATTACATTAAGTGTTTTTTAACATCATCTTTACCTTCCCAGAATAAATCTGAGTTGGCCATTGTTTGAATACACTGCTGGATTTTGTTTGCTAATATTTCGTTTAGATTTTGGCTATGTTTTTGAGTGAAACTCTCCTATAACTTCCCTTGATTTGGGGTTATTTTTGTTTTGTTGTTTTTATCACTCAGTGTGCGATTCTTACAAAATGGAGAAGCATTCTCTCTTTTTATATTTTTGGAAGAGCTTGTTCAAGATTGGAGTTATTTTCTTTGTAAATTTTTGATGAAACTCACTAATGGAGCCATCTAAGCCTGAAGATTTCAGTTTTTTTTTTTTTTTTTTTTTTTTTTGTGGTTTTTTTCCCCTAGTAGAAACATTTAAGGCTATAAATTTATCTGAACCCTATCTGGGTATTACCCAGGTTTTACCATATAATATTTTTTGTTGTTTACTTCTAAATATTTCCTAAGTTATTTTAGGATTCTTCTTTGAGAAGTATATACTTTCTTAATTTCCAGACATACAGAGGTTTTCTAGTTGCCTTTTCGTTATTCTTTATAACTTACTTTTAGTCTGGAAAATGGTCTGTATTTTTCAATTTTTAAAAATTGGTTAAGATATTTATTGTCTAGTATATATTATACTAGACAGGTTTATATTATGTTCCATGTAAGCTTGAAAACAAGGTTTATTCTATGCTTGTTGGATGCAGAGTTACGTAGTGGATGAATATATGTCCATTAGGTCAAGTTTGTTAATTATGTTGCTCAAATCATATATAGCCTTACTTACTCAAAATTATACATACTTCACTAGGAAAGTGAAAATTTATTCTTGTATAGTGACTCTATTTGTCCTTAATATTTTATTTGTTTTCAAGTCTATTTTATCTACCAGTAACATCTTTCAATATCTTTTGCTAGGTTTGTGCTTGGCATAACTTTTTCTAAACTTTTACCTTCAACTTTTCTGTGTGTTTAGGTTTTGACTATGTTTCTTGTAAATTATAAGCTGGATTTTAAAAATCTAACCTGATAACCTGATAGTCTTTTAACTGGCAAGTTTGGTCAATGTTTACCTTGGATTTTTTTTTTTTTTGAGACGGAATTTCACTCTTGTTGCCTAGGCTGGAGTGCAGTGGTGTGATTTCGGCTCACTGCAATCTTCACTTCCCAGGTTCAAGCGATTCTCCTGCCTCAGCCTCCCGAGTAGCTGGGATTACAGACATGTGCCACCACGCTTGGCTAATTTTGTATTTTTAGTAGAGATGGGGTTTCACCATGTTGGTCAGGCTGGTCTTGAACTCCCAACTTCAGGTGATCCACCTGCCTCAGCTTCCTAGAATTACAAGTGTAAGCCACCGTGCCCAGCCTGGATCTTTTTTTTAAAAATGAATAAAACATTGTAGATAAAACTGTAGTCTCCTGTGTTCCTCTTCTTCATCTAATCACCTTTTCCTTCTCCCAAAGGGTAGCCACTAACATTTGTTTGGTATCCATGATTTTTTACTTTTTAAAAATACTTTTATTAGATATTTATACATCCATAAAAATCAGATATGTTAAAACTATATATAAATGGTCATGCTTTACATAGCGTTCTGTAAGTTTATTACTTTATTAAGTAATGTTTTT